GGTTAGCTCCAAATGAGTGAATCCAGATCTGAGCAGTTCACAGACCAAGACAAGGTGACACTGAATAAATGCAGAATTAAAACTTCCTATACCAAATAGTAAATGTATCCAGAGACTTTTCCCAGGCAGGAGACATAAGTAAGCCAGATATCAGACCTTCACAATGCCTGCTGGGGAGCAATTACAAGCTGTATGCTTCTTGTTATAAATCAAACAAGGTTGTAAAGGCTCATTAAACAATGGGGTCTAGGACATTCAGAATGCGTGGTTTGCCACCCCCGTCTTTGTCCGTAGCATCATCAGAGGAGAAAGCCTACATCCAAAGATGCTGGCTTTGTGGATGGAGTGTGTATAAATATGTTGATTTACATGGGACAGAAACCAGAGCTTTTCCCAAGGTGACTAGAGCTGGCCTTCTCTGAGGCACACATACTGCACAGTACCTCTGCTCTGGCCATCTGCAGTGTGGCGTCCAAGTTGGGCTGCTGGAACAGAAGGCCTGCGGGTGTCTCCACCTCGGCAGTCCCGATGCGGGAGTACAAGGCTGTTTTGGAAATGGAGACATCTGTTGGGTGAGCAGCTTCTCTCTGTGGAATGGTTTTTAATTAAAAAAAAAAAATGTTATCCATCATATAACAAAGAAGTTCTCACTCACTGTCTCATGAATGAGTCAGTTGTATGATTTTGGGACAAAGAACATCAAAAGTATGAGAAAATGCTAAGACTAATGAATGGGGAAATGCTGGATCTGATCTATGGCAATCTATCATTTTGCACCTGTACAGGCAGACAAAGGCGCTAATGGCAAAGGCCTCCCCACCTCCCAGCCCTCGGAGTTGAGTGTGTCTGCTGCCTGCTTATCACTGCCATTTATCAGACGTGAGGCATTTAGACACCGCGCCTAAGGACCAAGGTCATTTCCAACAGGCTCCTCTAACAAAATAAAAGCCTGATGGTAAAATGATGTTGCATTCTAGTCTCCATTTGACTAGTTTTGAAAAACCACAGATTTGATCATTTTTGTAAGACTGTCCACATTTCAATTTGGGGAGCATTTGTTTAGCTCTATTTAAAAGGTTATGATTCACACAAAGCTTAAGGCCAACGGCAGTGGTCAACCAATGTCACCTTCAACAAGCTAGTTTCCAGATGCCGAGAAGTCTGTTACATCAGTGGGAAAAGTGAAATCAGATCAATGACAATATTCACATTTGCTGATAAGACCCTCAACAAATGGTACGATCCCAAGCTCCCCCCACCCAGACAGTGGTGTGACTGTAGAGGACAGTCACTAGCCTCTTGGGAGGGAGGAGAGGCCCATGGTTTCTCTTCCTCCTTTGCACAAAGTGCTCATCAATTTCCAACACACTTGAAATGCGGTGTTAGCAGCATCGTCAACCAGCGTGGCAGGGTGGTCAGTCTAGTTCTACTGCAAAATACGGTAAGAAAAATCATGCTCTCAGTCCTATTCATTCACCTCCTGGCACCACAGTGGTTGCCAGGCAAGCCTCCCTCTCATTGCTAGGGTCCTCTCTGATGAGAGGTAATGGGGTCTAACCGTCAGGGTGTGACTGCTTCCTCCTTGGGAAATTTATGAGAGGAGAGAGAATGGTGAACCCAACACCAGAGGGTAGTAGAAAGAGAGATTTGGGGAAAAGAACCAGGACTCATTTTGTCAAGGGAAGCAGATAAGATTGAAGAACCAAGTCACTGGGGAGGGTGCCCCTGGAGTTTGTGCGAGCAGAATTTCTCTCTTCAATCATAGGATCCTATTATAGCAACAAAGAAAATGGACTTTGCGACAGCTGGGAAAACAGGTGGAAGTTTAATGGATAGGACTGGAGATTACCAAGTAAGGGCACGTTAGTTGTCCACATGCACAGTGACCCAAACAGTTTTGGGTGTCCCAGAAGTGAGCATCTGTTGCTTGGGCTTCTGCCTTGGAGCTGGGACCCAAATGACTACTGCTGGTTAGAGAGGAGAGTGCACGGGCCCTGCCCAACCAGACCCCAGACACATGCTCACACATCAGGTGGGCTGCCAAGATCTTTTCAGCCTCGGGTCCTAAAGCCTTCGCTACAGGACATTTTGAGACAGGGACCATGGGTGTAGTCAGAGCAGGGTGAGGGCCTCCGGAAAAAGCAAGGCAAGATAATTATAGTCAGAGCAATGTAACTACATGCAAGGAAACCCCTTACCCAAACTCTGTGTTAAACATTAAGCTCTAAGTCATTCTTCAGTGAGATCAGTTAATATTCCCCAGATAAAGGAAAGTATCCCATGTTTTTCTTATGCTAATCATTTGTGATCATGTATAACATTCACTTTAGCATGCTAAAAGGCCCGGGCCTATGTGCTGTCTTTCCTCGTTCAGACCTGATAAGGTGATCCGCAATCTGGGCAATTAATAATGGCAGGCAAGCCCTGCCATAAACAACATAGTAAAAGGCAGGAAGGATTTCATCTGAAAGATAAAATTGCATTTTAAAAACCCAGGAAGTTAAGAAGTAAAATTCTTAACTTACTCTTTAGCAAACAGATAATAGCTAAGCCCACCTTGGGGGCTGGGCAGGCAGTCTTGTTTGATATGCTCCCAGACCAAGAGCCTCTGGTATCTCAGAGAGAAATCAGAGCAGTAAATTTCTTGTGTTAAGTTGATTTTAAATATTCAGGAACCACTCAACAAGTCCACACCCCTAAACCCTTTATCACTTTCCTTAAAATCCTCAACTGCCTATAATCCCCTAGACAATACACCATTATGGGCTCTCTTATCCCCTGCTGCCATGAGCCAGGAGCTCTATCCTCTCACTTTATCTCTAAATAAAAGCCTTTCCCTGACTCTCCTACCTTAAGTGTTTGCTAAGTTCATTCCTTGACTCCGCAACCAAGAACGGTGGCATCATTTTGACCAGACACAAGCTGACAGCCCTCAGGAGCAGCAGGTGACCTCTCAAAGTGTCACCAGACAAAGCGGCAGAGCCTCTTTCACATATGGGTCAATCTCTGCTTTATGAAATATTTCCAAGGTTCTATGTGTCTGATGGGTAACTTCTCAGGAAGTAAATGGAAAATCACACCTAGACATCAAGATCCAATTATGGAGAAAGTTCATAAACACAAAATTTTGAACAGGATTAAAAAAAAACTGTTCCTATCACTTTTTAAGTAAAACAATGTGTTCTCTGGAAAAATAACAATAAAATTTCAAAACAGAAAGAACATCAGACACCATCTAACTCATCCTGGTCATTTTGAAGATGAAAAACACTGAGGTTCTGAGAGATTCGACCAAAGTTAACTTCTCAGAATGAAATTCAATTCTGACCCAAAATAAACCAGCTCTCTGAAGAGCAAGAGAAAATGAATTAAAACTAACTTTATCATACTGGGCGGAAACTAAATCTGACCACTGCAGGAATTAATGACCTCAAAGCTGCCTAATTCCTTTGTAATACAAGCACTGACAAATAAATAAAACAATGAGCCTTCTAATCCATGCAAATGGTTACTGCTATACATGGCCATTCACCATCACCTCTCACCCTGGCCACCTGCTGTTTTCAATAAAGGAACAGATGACTTCAGAATCCATTTGAATTAGGCATCTGCAATGTTCCTGAAAGTCAAGGTACCCAGCCTGGTTTTCCCTTACAACCAAGAATTGGTTCCATCAGAAAATAATAGGTTTGTCTCTAGCTGATATTTTAAGATGAGATTTAAGCTTTGTTTCTCTCACATAATCCCCCACTTGCAACTTTAGAGGAGCCCAAACGCCACAAGAATCACCAATTAAAACATGAAATGGCCACAACTCAAAGAGCAGGGGCCTCTGGGACCAACTTTCAGCCCTCAACCCACCACTCCCTCAAATTGTCATTGCTGTGTGGACCCCTCCCACACCGTCACCCCATCAGACCTGCAGCCTCAGGCCGGGGGTCCTTCTGGCCTTCCAGCCAGGGGCTGGGGGTCTTTGCATGCACCCAGGCTCACAGTCCTTCTTGTGGCCAATTCCCGTTGCCAGGCCTCAAGGTAACCATTGCATCTGGGACAACTGCAGGATTCCAGGTCCAGGGGCTGGGCTGGGACAACAGTCCGTGAGGAGTGCATGGGGACCAGGAGTTGAGCTCAGGTGGGGAGGCCTTGGTACACTGGGCCACTGTAAGGCTGGGTGCTTGGGGGTGTCTGGGCCACATGGTGCCAGGCCAGGCAGAAGAGTGGCCTCACGAGAGGGCTGCCCCTCCCAAATATGACAATGGGCAGTCTTAAGCTCAGGATGGCACTGCCACCATGCCCGCTCCTTCCCGCAGGGTCAAAATATGGCCCTCAGTCCTTCTCAACAGAGGCTGCAGGCAATGACCACAGACTCCCCAAAATGGCAAATAAGCTGAACCCATGTGCCAGCCCTTTGTCGCTGCTCTTCGGACTGTTGTGGCCTTCATGCATCACGGTGCTGAATGGCGGGGGTGGTGGGTAGTCTCTGGATACATAGTGAGAGAAAGAGCCTATGTCATCAGGCCACCTGCCAACAGTACAAGTTGCCCCAGACCTAACCTGCTGCTGCTGACTTAAAATCCAGGCATCGGCCTTTGTCCGCCAGGACTCCAAGGGAACCTGACACTGAGGACTCTCCCCTGCCCAGTGGCACCTGCTTCTCGGACTTCCAGCCCTCCTGAAGCTTGTCATATGTATGACCCTTGTTCCTGTTACCCAGACACATCCTTCATTCTTTATCCTGGGGCTCCCCTCCTCCAGAAAGACCAACTGCTATATACACAAATTGCATTAATCTGTGTGCCTTGCAGCCCTTGGAAAGCCATAAAGATGGAATATTTAGGTTCTCTTTACCCTGCTTTGGTGTTAAATATTCAGGGGTACTGCACCATGCAGTGAGCAACCCGGGTCAGATCTGCCCCCACAAGAATACAATCCAATTCAGTTCAGCCAGAAGTGTGTGGACGGAAATCACCAAGAAGCTACAGCCTGACACCCCAGCCCGTACGGAGTTTTTCTCACTTTTAACATTTTCTGATTCATGGGACAGAGTAAAACCCATCTGGGGCCCCTCAAAGGTTGGCTCAGCTGGATCTGAGCTAAAGAGAACTGTTCAGTCGAAGCTGCTCAAAGAAGCAACCAGAAGCCGCCCCACCTCATATCTCATGTTGCTTTTCATTCCTTCCATATGATTTGTTTTCATTCCGAGTGATTTCATTTTTTGAGTTGGCAAGTTTAAGCCCTATGCTGCCAAAAAGACGGGACTTCGTCACCTGCAGCTGAAAGACATGGGCAGATAAAAGAGCAATTTGGATACCCCACTGCTGTTTCCTCTTTCTATGTATCACCAGTTTGCAACACAGTGAGGGGCATCAAGCATCTGTATGAACAAGAAACCCACAGGATCCTACCTGGGTGAAGGTAAATGGCTCACCCTTGGGCTGGTTAGCTACAGAAAGAGCATGTATTTTCCATGGGCCAAGGTCACTAGAGAACAGCCTTCTTACAAAGGCAGTACAGGTCACTACGGCAGAAGAAAAAGCTCCCTACACTCAAAGACGGTTCTACCCGTGCGGATAATTTCTTTCAGCCCTCCTGAAATAAGTGAAGGAGGTAGTTGGAGCTGTGTCTCCAACCCACACTAAGTAGACTAATATGACAATATTTCCTAAATCAAAATAGGGACACATGGTCTGAGAACAGGCTGTAACTGGCAGGAAGTCAACTGCTGGCCAGTATTTGCTGACCACCATCCCTGAATGCCCTCTCACAGGAAGGAGTAGGGCTACCAGGCACTCTGGGACACTTTATACTCAATCTCAACTATTTATAAGAACATGCTCAGTTCTGCCTCAAACTTCTAAACAGGAAGATACCAGATTTATAGTGGCCACACTTCAGGCAATTCATTCTGTCCTTCTACTACAAAAGGATATCAAGAAAGAAATCTAACTGGGAACAATCCTCACTGCTTAATGCTTTCTAAAAATCTCATTTTTATGGAAGTTAAACCAGGTGTGTGGGGCGGCAACAGAACAAGGACATGGGCGACCTGTATTTACCTTCTAGTCCCTGCCCTGGGTCCCAGCGTTCCCAGACTGGACACCCACAGCGTGACCACCTTCATTCATTGAGAGATGTCTCTGGGAAGGAGCCCCCACCTCGGTTCCAGGGAAACCACCTGTGGGGGTCACTGGGGGCAGGAGTAGAGGACAAACCCCTGGTGCTCTACCGAGGATGAGAGGGGAGAAACACTGGCCTCTCTGCCAAGTGAGCTGTCACTCAAGATGCACAGGTAAGGGGCCCCCACTTGGAGATTTGAGTTCTAGTTCCACCAAGCCAGAGAGTCACTGTCAGGCCTCAGGCTGGTTCCACGGCTCCCCATTTGTAAAATGGGACCTGGACCTGCCTACTGTGGAGAGATGCTGTGAGCACTGATCAGGTAAGAGACGCAAAAGTTAGCTACCACGGCAGCTTCCGTTTATTGCACATGTGCCGCACGCCAAGAACAGTGCCGCTCTGCACACATCACCTGCAGTCCTCACAGCAACGTGCAGCCTTGCTGCGATAAGCCTCAGCTCACAGATGGAAAAGCTGAGTCTCAGAGAGGTTCACCAGCTTGTTCAAGGCCACAGAGCACCCTGGGGTCCAAGCCCTGGTCTGCCCTACCAGGTCTACTGCACTGCCCAACTTGCAGTGGGGTGTAGGGGCTGGAATGAGGTGACTTCTCAGAGACCACAGGTCACTCATCAGCCCCAAAGGGTGGGCTGTACCCTACAGGGCCACATGCCATTTTGCCCATCATCAGCAACCCACCCAAATTGTTAAGGAGAATCACCCCAAACACAGAAACAAGGCAAAAAGAGCTCTGCATGCCCCGCAGGCATCATGCTCTAGTCTAGAGCAGGGGTTGGCAAACCACGCGGTGCAGACCAAAAGGCCCCTGGCCCTTTCCTGTAAAAAGAATTTTACTGGAACACTGCCACGTCCGTTCACATCCACACTGTCTGTGGTTTCGAGCTATGGTTGAGTAACTGTTACAGAGACTGGAAGGCCCACAAAACCTAAAATACTTGCTACCTGCCCTTTACAGAAAAGGGTTGCTTTTCTGTAATCCTTTTGACCTTGGCAACAGGGTCATCTGATGTCTCATCAAGGTCTTGGTTTCATTTACTATTTACTATTGACTAGGGTTCAGTCTTAGTACCATTAGTTACTTGTAGAAAATAGAAAAGCTGCAAATTACTTTTGTTCAGCAGAAAACAAATGATTTCTTAAAAAAAAGAGAAAAACTCCTGAAAGGTTATGATTTGTCCCATTGAATCTATTTTATCTTGTGTTAACCAGTGTTATATCTAACTCTGCAATCTCCTTCTCCCCTTCTTAGCCCGTTGACTACCCAGTGCTTTCTCCCATCTTTCTCCATTCAACCAGCTTCACCATATTGCCGGTTCCCTCATTATTGAGTTAGAGATCTTGGGCACGTGCTTAGTGTGTATTTATGCAAGAGTTATGCTTGTAGCTTTTTGGAAAACCACACTTGGTCCAACACGAACACTGGCAATGACGGCCTGGCTAACTAACGGTTAGCGAAGCAGCTTTTGGAACACACGGCATTCTTGAGAGGCAGTGTGTGTAGGCAGCAAACGGATACCTTGGTGTCCTGGCGGATACGGGAAGCCAGGGCAATCTGCCTGGCCAGCTTCAAGGCTTCTATCCTCATGATGGCAAATTCTAACTCCTCCTGCCGGACGGGTGGGGTATGAGCAAACCTCAGGGGAAATGCAGCATGACAGGACGTAAACGTTCTCCAAATCCAAGAAATGAATGTGCCACATGAATGTGTCGTCACAGGGTCTCAGAAAAAAACACGCACTCTGGCTTTCTTTCACAATGAACACCTCAGCAGATCATGAAATCAGTATTTAATTTCCTTTTTTTTTTAATAGTCCTTTGGGATGTCTGTCAGGAAGTATTATACAGCTGAATATGAAATGATTTTTAAAATACGATCAAAATTTTGATTGCACTGTTTCCTTTGATTTCTTTCCTTTTGTTTGCTTAAGGGTAAAGTTGGCCACCAATTCCCATGAATGGATGGCATCTCTCATACAACTGTTAACAATCTCTCTAGGTTTGCTCTGAATATCCAGGTCTAGAGGATGTCAAATTAAGTTGTCAAATGTAAAGCACAGAGTAGATTATCGTTTTGGTTCCAGATGCAAGACTGAGTCCAGATGTTATCTCAATGGGAGTCTGACATAGCCTTGTCTATATAAACGGCTTGGCTCGACAGTGATCTAATACTGATTCTGTGAATAAATCACAGAAACTGCTTTTGGAGCTATGAAAACTTCTGAAAAATGACTGTGTGGACCAAATTTCCAACTTGCAATACAAATGGTTTATTCCATATGTAGTCACACAATTCATATCACTGTGGTGTCTTGGATCCAGAACACCACAATAAATCAGCCTCTGAGGGAAAGACAGTTCATCTGGGACATTCCCAGCAATGCCTCGTTAAATCTGCTTCATTGCATTTGGGATTCGGAGGTTCATTTTCTACTGAGGTTTTGACAAACTCCCAAAAGGTCACACATGGGTTACAAACCTGAAGTTTCTGAGCAAATACTGGGGGGTTCTTTTCTGCTAAGTCGGGTTCCAGATAGTCAAGCGCACCACACAGAGAGGCTGGATGAGCTAGCCTGCTGAGGAGGGCGTCAGCAGAGGCAAAGGAGCCCTCAGGAGCTGTCTGAAGGCCGGCAGAGGAGGGCACAGAGGAAAAATAGAGAGCAGAGTGACAGTGATTCCACGCAAGGACCACACATTTGTTTGCACGACGTTTCTACCTTAAGACTAAAGAAAGTATCAATTAGGTGCCAATACTTTCCTGCCATCTGAACTAATGATGACAGAGAGCATCTTGGGATTGACAGGCCCAACCCCCACCCCAAAATCACAGCCTTAGGTGCCCTCCCTACCCCCACCCCACCTTCACCCCCTAGCCAATCAGTGGGAGGAAACTCACCATCAGTCTATTTAGTGTTGACCCTTGAACAATGTGGGTGTTAGGGGTGCAGACACCCTGCATAGTTAAAAATCCAAGTACAACCTGTGACTCCGTAATAACTAGTAATAGCATACTATTGATCAGAAGCCTTAAGTACCGATTCACACATATACATTTTTCATATTATTGATCAAAAGCCTTAAGTTAGTTAACACATATTCTGTATATTATATGTATTGCTTACATTTCTCTTGCTGTAAATGGCACCATGTATTCCTTTTGTGTGCATAAATTTTGATAGTTTTAATTTTTTAAACATTTATGTATATTTTTTAGGAGTAAATGACAAAACAGACTAGTATCTATATTTCACACATTCATGACATACCTTTTTCTTAGTTTTTTCAATATTTCTAGGCTATGTGGTTTGTCTGAGAGTTTGTTCAAAGTGTCACAAATATCCAAAAATTTCCTAATATACTTTTTTGAAGAAAGTCTGCATATAAGTGGACCCATGCAGTTCAAGCTTGTGTTGTTCAAGGGTCAATCATGCTCAAAAATCTCGGTGGGTGAGAGACAAGCTGGCTGATGGGTTTTGCAAACATTAACCTAATTCATCGAGAAAATACATCCAAGTATAAATACCGAAAGAAGTAAGGTTTTGGTAAACATCACTTTCTAAAAAATGGAAAAATGATTTCCAATGAAAAATTGTCTCCTGACAGATGAGAAAGACTTCAAAATCAGAAGCCAACTTTGCAGAAGTGGAATCATGCCCGAGTCCTTCTGTAATATCTGAGAGGTGAAGTCACTCACAGTTAGACTTACTTTTTGCTCACTATTATTTCTCCAGTATCCAACTGCCAGACACTGAGTAGATACTCAGTAAATACTGGATGCATGAGATAAATGAATGGTCTACTAACAAGCACCGAACAACAAAAGTAACACACTAAGTCAACAGCCTCAAACACTCTTGGGGATTAGATTGCTAGGACGTAAAAGAAAACATAAAAGTCACTAGGATGAACCATTTTAGATGTTCAGGGGCTCCTGTGGGTGAGGCATTCAGCCCAGGTCTGTTTGGTCTGCAAGGCCCCACAGGGGTTGGGAGGGGAAAGGTGTAAGTCAGTCCCTGGTCTGTAAAGAGGTGGGCTTTCCCATCAGCAAGGCCTGGGAAAGTCAACTGTTCGTCAGAAGGAGAATGTCCTGCGCTCCGGCCATTCTCTGCTGCCTGCCACAGAGGATGGAGAAGAAGCTGGAGACTGACAGCAGCTTCACAGCAACAGTCCAGCCCCAAGGGACTAAGTGTGGGAAATAAACAACCCCGAAGCAAATAAAGCACTTGGGTGAGAAGTGCAGAACCACGGCTGGTGAGCACGGTGAGCCTCTCTCTCACCACTGTGACACGGGGCAGCCGAGGCTGGCCTCTGCGGTGCGGGGGAGAGCTGCTCTGAGGGCCCCGCCCTCCAGGTGATGGGACCCAGCTGGCCCAGGCCTCACCCCCAGTGATCACGGGCCCCCCTGACCCACTTACAATCTCAATGGCATCTGAGGCGGTGCCCAAGGCCATGGCCTCCAGCTCTTTCTGGGAGGATTTCTCTGGCACCTGCAAGTGTGGTTCCTGGTTGGGGGCCAGCCCTCGTGAGACTGGATGCTGGATCTTTGCCCCAGTGTTCACAAGGGCTTCCGTCTCCTCGAAACTTGACCTGAGGAAGGAAAGTGCATCTTTAGTCAAGTCACTGGAAATCCCCCTGACATCAGCCAGGATGTCCTGACTCCGTCAATACCCCAAGGGGTCCTGGCCTTCCAGGGCTGCATTCCCAGGGGCAGAACAGGGCAGATCTCAGGTGGCCATGGGAACTGTAGGTTGGGCCACCTCGGGGATGGGCCAGTCCAGCCACCCCCAGGGCCTGCTGACAAGGGAGGGTCACAAGCACACATGCCGCTGGCAGAGGGCATGAGCCCTGGAGTTAAGCAGACGGCCAGCCCCTTGGCTGTGCACCCTTGGAAGTGAGGGGAAGTGACCAGGTCCCGCATCTCAGTGTCCTTTAATGTGAGATGGAGACAGACAGCTCTCTGTGAAGTTCAGAAGTGAGAAGCTGTGAAGTGACAGGCTGCTGCATATAGAGCACTTAACACAGGGCCTATCACACAGAATAGCACCACCATCATCCTTACCACCCTGGGCAAATTCTGGAGTGAGTTTAGGATGTCAAAGCAGAGGTCGATCCTACTCAGTGAAAGGGGCAGGCAGGCAGGGACAGGGAGGTCTGAATCTCAGAGCCATGCCACCCCATTATCCAAACCAGCGCCACACAGCTCTGAACGTGACCCTAACCAAAGCTAGTATTCACATCTGCATTACCAATAGGTCTACTGGGCACTGCATGTATGCCGGGCCTTGTGACAAGTGCTTCACTCACACGGCCTCAGTTTAATCTTCCCCATGGTTTTGGAGGGCAGGTAGCCCCTCTCCCTTGCACAGCTGGCACATGCCTGAAGACTGAAAGCCCTCATTTAACCTCCGTAAAATTCCATGATTAGTCTCACTCTACACAAAGGAGACTGCAGTGCAGGACGGTCATGCAACTTGCACCAGGTCACACAACCAGCAAGATCAGGGGTGGGACTCAGTCTCTGCTCTTGCAGTCCCACAGACAAATCACAAAATGAAGTTGTGTGTGTGCTGGAGGGCGATCACAAGGGGCTCACACACTCAGCCGGTAAAGGATTTCACCTTGGTCCAAAGGGCCGCCAGTATGCTTAGGTCCGTGTGGACATTCAGAGAAATCGGGACACAGGCTGCCTGAATAGATGCACATGAACGAAGCTGGCATAGCAGGGCCAGGTGCTCAGGCGGGGGACCTCATCGCAGAGTTCATACCCTGAACACGGCGTGGGGGACTCCGACATCCGGACGGGGGGAGACTGGCCCGGGCTCTCCTGAGAAGTGTCAAACATAAGGTACAAGGCCTGCTTCTTCGGGGTGTCATCGTCCTGCTGCAGGAATCAAAGTCAAACATCAGCTTGGTTACAGTTGGCCAGAACACGCTACAGAGATGAAAAGCAGAGCATGCCTCATTAGGAACAAATAACTCATCAAGGAGTCTTCATTTTTCTCAAGCCATCCAGGAGGGGTGCAGAAAGCTGCTGCTTACTGGGAGAGAGGGGGAGGGGATGGGAGGGAGCAGTCAGGTGGAGAGAGAAAGCATGACTGTGTGCCACTTGGATCGTTTTTGATGGGGGAAGAAACATAACCACATTGGTGTGCTGTACGCTGTTCAGCCCATCAGCACCTACTCGCCACCTTCTCTGGATGGGCAGCCATGCCAGCTGATACAGACAAACAAGAGGGGTGAGCAAGACCCCAGTGTGGGCACTGCCCACAGTAGCCCAGGGGAGATGGGCGTGCTGACCCAGAGCAATGAGAGCCTGTCATCAAGGTTTGCTCAGTTACAGCAAACTGCAGCTTAATAGCAGCAACTCCAGCATCTGTGGCTAATGCAAAGGAACATAAAGATAAAAGCAATGTGTCCAGGCCATTTGGTGTCACAGCAAGTCCTCTGGGGCACCTCCATTGCCAGAGAATGCAAGAGGTCATGCTCGGAAGCACGTGCCCCAGGGCTGCAGATATTAAGCCAGAGGAGGCAGATGTCTGTCATAACCACTTAAAATGTAAAAGGCTGGGGGAGACTTAGTGCCTTATAGATTATCTTCTGTGACACATGCAACCAGTAAACAGATAATAGTACACACCTTAAAGGCAACCAGACCACTCCCTCCATCTGTTTTTATCTGACTAGTTCTTTCTCAGCCTAGGGAAGTCATTCTGCAGGAAGCTAACCGCATCCCATCATTTTCCCCTTGAAAAGCCACCAGAAGTGGACTGAATATGAACCTCCACCCCAGCCCCTGTTCACTCTTACACACATGATGCTGTGGGCACAGAGGACCCCCAGTTTAGGGTCTGAGCTCCCAGGACATTATGGTCACAGGAGGAGGAGGCCAGTGTTTTCATGACAAAGGACAGGACCAAAGAACAAGTCCCCTGCTGGCCCGAGGCAGAAGAACTTACAGGTAAAGAGGAGCCGATTTTCTCCATATATTCAATTTCATAGGAGTTTCTGTAACCCAAGTCTGCCAAAGAAACAAAAGGAAAGGTTAGTGTCGGGGGTCAGGGGGAGTTTGGGCCAGGCAGGGTGAGGCCTGCAACGAGACGTTAAGCTTTCAGAGAATGTCTGCTGACTAGAGGCTTCAGATACAGCTGCAAGGGGGGCTCAGCTCAGCTCTCCGCAGACAACTGATAAACCTATTGCTGCATGAGGGTTTCTGCCATTAGGGAGTCTCAGAGAGTTCCAAGGGGATTAAATGTTATAAGTAAGCAAAGGTCTGCCTGGGAAAAGATCTGAGCATTTTGCACTCAAGTTTTCAGATCAGGTAGTGTATGACATTCTGGAATTAGACCTGCAGTTGTCCTCCTCTGAGAATTTAGCTGCAGCCATGCTGAATTCTTGCTTCTTACACTGAAGCAAGAACAGATACGGTCCCTTCAGTGTTCCTTGTAAAAGCAGCTTTTCAAGTCACGTAGAAAGTTTCCCAAAACTCTTTCAATGCCTACAGGGCTGGTCCAAATCAGATTTTCAGGCGCAGAGCCTGCTGAAGTCCTTTTCAGTGGAGAAATGACCTATTTCAAATTTACTGGAGACTTCAGGCTACAAAGAAAATGCCAGAGGTTTCTACCAGAGAGCGGAAACCCACAGGCTGCCTCAGGCTCTCGGCCCACCAGTTGACCGCTCTGTCCAGCAAATGGAATCTCAGCACCTGACTACATGCCTCAAACTGTGCTGGCCACAATGGACATGGTGCGACTATCCTCACAGAAGTCACAGTCAGCAGCCACCAAATGGCTCTTTTCTCCCTAAAAAGAAAACCAAGAGGTGACACGTGACCTGCTCAGAACACCGCTGTGCAAGAGCATCAGTCAAAATCCATAAAGCCTAAGGTCTTAAGTTTTTTTTACAGAAAAATAAAAATAACAGCAGTTCTGGTTTAACGTACCTTGATTTCTACATTTTGTTAAAAGCATCACTTAAAAAAAGATTCCTTAAAGTGAGCTCTAAAGTGAGATATGTCCTGGAAGACTTTCTCAAAACCTGCAAGGGTGTGTGGGTGTGTGGGTAAAGCACTTGAACACATGCACAACTTTCAGGAGCCCCTAAATCTCCCTGGTGAAACAAAAACACATTCTTTGAGTAGGTCTGGCCTGCTTGGCTGGCTCACAGGAATGAGGACGCTTTTGTGGATTAATGGCCATAAAGAAGTCATGTGTCCTCAAAGCCCACACACCCCGACTGTGCGTCTCTTGGGGAAAGGCAGAGATTGGAGCACAGAGCAAAGCCCGCTGGTTTGGTGTCTGCAGCTGCAATGCGAACCTGGACCCAGTCAGCCCCAACTTTAGACATAGAAGTTTCACTTTTATGAAGACTTACTATCCTCCTCACCTTGAAAAGGAGAAGCAGGTGGGGACAGTGAAGGACAAGGTGATTTCTAGGGCCTCTACCTGACCTATCACTTTCCAGGCGCAGGACCCCAGGACTATCATTTTATTGGCCTACTAAAGCCTGTGAAAGTTGAGAAGGTAATAGTGAATCAGCTGCTTCCTCCTCTAAGGTCTCACTATTATTGCCAAGGCATTTATAACCCTCAATTATTTAACAGAAACCTCCAGCACAGAGTGCCCACAATGCTCCAAACAAGCTAAGGGCCACCACAGAGATTCTGCAGCAACTGGTGGCCCTGGGTCAGCGTCTTGCTCCAGTTATCAGCTCGCCTCATGAATTATCCTACTTAGAATCCTAGCTCTGTCCTGGCAGCTGATCTGGGTGACTTTTAGGTCACAGAGCTCACTTATCTGCCTCCTTTCCTAGTGCCGAGGGGGCTTCCCTTCTTCCTGTCCAGGGTCCCCTCCTCCCTCAGAGGCAGCAGATCACAGCACAATACTGGGGGCTTCTCTGTCCCCCTGCTCTACCCAGGAGCTTCAATCCCAGGTGGGTTGGGGATGCCTGGAGGTGTTCTTTCAGAGTGAGACCTGAAACTTCCAACCATAGCCATTTGCATTCACATTTATAATTTACAAAAGGTCCTGGACAGGATTGTCAAGGAAAACAAATGCATCTTCTTGTCGTAAGGGTGGTCTCCAATATTTTGAGGAAACTTCTCATGCACCTGCTTTAAATTCTGTGCCTCAAGAGGTGGGCATGGAGGGGGGAGCCAGGAACTTTTAACACACGCCACGCACAGCTGGCAGGCCAGGAGGCTAACACCAGTTACACCAATGAAACATCTTCGCATCTAAGACAAGAGGCCACTGTCTGAGCATGTGCTGCTTCAGGCTGAAGAGGCCGAAGTTATTTCTAACGGGTCCTGTAGTAGCCAACCTGCTCTTGGTAATTATTTCACCCCAGGGCAATGCCCAGTGAGGGAGCCCAACTGCTGTTTTCATGTGACTCTCGTGCCAGAGCTTGGCTGGGGGACTGGAAAAAGCCCTGGGCAGAAGCAGGAAGGATGTCGTTGAGTCCAGATCGCCGTTCCCAGGATCAAGGAAGCCAACCTGCAGGCTTCTCCATGCCTATTAACTTATCTATAAAATGGAGTTCAAAATGCCTGCGCTTTGCAGAACAAAATGAAGCGACGTAGGATAAAAGCCCAAACATGGGCTATATAAATATAAGGGATTGTGACCAGGTAGGTGTATTATTGCTCACTGCTAATATTTCTGGAATTTTTAACAAAAGTGATGAGAGGCGATAAGAGCCTTTTGGAAGGGGACAAGGATGTGCTTCCAACTTCTAAATGTCTGTAGTGTGATAGTAGTGGTGCCCACCACTGAAGAATGGGTAGGCTCCTGAGAAGGATGCCTCCCCCTCTGTTAGAGGCAGAAGGGAGGGGCTGCGTCTCTGTGTTAAGGGAAGCAAAGGACCTGGGTGGTCATCAACAGGCCATCCAGGCTTGTGAACTGGACACAACTGCTCTCAGGGTTTCTTGGACCCGAGCTCCAAGAGGTCTTGGATGCTGGGTGGCCCAAAGGCTTCTAACTTTGTCATCCCTATGGGCCACACAGAGTAGTTTTCTCCCACAGCACCGTGTTTCTAAAGATTGCTCTAGAAAAGGGCCCTTGCTAAGCTAGCATTCAAACAAAAACATTTGTCATCGCCAACCTGAATTTTCAATCACTGGGAGATGATCAGTATCACCACAGTGGCTGATGTAATTATAGCCCAAACACACGATTTTATTAGCTGGACATATTTCTAAAGTACTCCATTCAGGTTTCTTGAAATACTAAGACAACCCGAAGCTCTGCAGACCCAGGTGGAGAAGCACAGGTCAGTCCAACACCCTCATTCTACAGATGACCAAAGGAAGCCTGAACGACGCTCACACAGTGTGTCAGGAAAACACCGGCCTCTTTCTTAAGAGTCAGGCAGACTTGGGTCTACACGGATTAGCCCTGGACACTCAGCAAGTCTTAAGAGCTCAAAGCTTTGCTTCCTCACTCTTGAGTGGGGAAGAGCAGAAACCCACTATGAAGAGCTGGCAGGGTGAAATGAAATCATGTACGTAAGACTCAGCACAGCTCAGACTGTGTTGCTCCAGCAATGATGGCTCCTGCCTAGCTTTGTGACTTAGGGGATTCGCATTGCAGGGAATGTGTGTTCAAATGTAATTGTTATTTCTAACTCAGTGCTTCATTTTCCTGTGATTTGTGACTTCAGGGTAAGAAAGTTTCAGTCATGGCTATAGCCCTGGTCAGAGGCTCTCTGACGGCCGCATCAACAGCCCCAGGCATGTGTCTGGTGTGGCTGAACTTGGCCTCAGGGGGTTAACAGGGAGGCTGACCCGGGAAGAGGGCTCTGCAGCCAGTTGCTGGAAGGAACCAGCCTATCTTGGCGTGGTGAACACGGGGTCAGCATCTCCTCAGCTGAACTGTCCTATAACCACATGGATGGTGGACTTCTGACTGCCCCCACCAGCTGTGATTATGGTTGGGACCTCCCAAATCTTTACAACTGTTTTGTAAGGGGGAAGTTTTAACAGTTTTGTTCCAAACATACAGTCTTACCAATTTGTTGAATTTCTGCAGGGTATTTATCAAATATGTTACTGAGCTAGTGAGTTGCCTGTTTCAGTTTAATGTTCAAGATGTTGTCACTGAATGAGGCATCCATTAACTTAAAAGATAGTATTAGGATCTTTGTATTTTCTATTAAAAAATGCGCACAGTCCCAAATCATCGGCCTTTTGATTCTTCTCTACAATGCCAAGGTGAAGCTGGTTTCTAAATACTTCTCTAACATTTAGAAGTATCTTACCAAGCCTTAAGAGATGTGACCCAGCAGAAACCACAGATGCTATCAAAATGGCCAAGGTCACTGTTTATACTGCAGCCTTTGGGATGTCACATCCCACACCCAACCCCATCTTCCTCACACAGGCCACGTCTATGCAATGATCAGACTGTGCTGACATGAAGCTGTTTACCTACCTGGCCTCGTACTTCCTTTCTCACAAACCTGTCTTCAGCCCCTGCTATGTGAAGGGGTGTGAGGACAGGTGGCTCACATGCTCTCACTTCAGGGGGACACAATCCAGCAGGAAAGCAAGAGATGCCTACAAATCATCATTATAGTTAGGGGACCTCAGAGGGGCCCAGGCCAAGCGTGAGGGCAGGCAGTATGGGGGAGATGTCCAGGGAAAGGCTGGAAACAGGCTGGACAAGCGTGGGGGACAGGACGGGGGGCATTTCAGCCTGCAGCAGCCACTGCAGAGGCAGCTGGGGGGGTATCCCTGGGAGAGTGGTGCCACCCTGTGGGGGCACAAGGCCAGCTGTATGTGCAGAGGTGAAGGCGCGTGTATAGAAAAAAAGGACTGAAGGAAGGTGGAGGCCAGGTCCCAGGGCCCTGGGGTCAGACTGGAGTGAGATGGCTATTATGCCTCCCAAACCTCAAGCCAGAGGCCCAACTGGAGGACAGCTCACCAAAATGCTCCATTCTGCAAAAATACACCGCTATCAAGTCCAGGTATAGACTTGGGTCATCTTTTCATCTTCAAACTGCAGAGAGGCAGTGTAGTGGGAAGACAGGCATCCAAAGTCCAGACATAAAATCCCATGAAATGGATCTCACTGGGACCATTCAGAGACCTCACGGGCACAAAGAAAGCCACCCAGAGGCCTGGTCATGGAAGAGCCTCCAGGGGAAGCAATCTGCACTGTGAGGAAAAATTACTGACCTCAGTTTCACCACTGCCCCACCCAGAGGAGGGCTGGAGGTCATTTATTGGAGATAATGGCTTCTTATTAGCAGCAAAGAAATGGAGATGAGGTTTTCATGTACAACTGTCCTCAGATTGACTTCTACTCCATTTTTTTTAATTGTTAGAAATCAGGATCTTGAAAAGGAAACTTGGAACCATCCCAACAGTGCAGAGTGCCTGATACGCAGTTCCCAAGCCCCACACAGTGGCCGGGGGAGACTTCTGGGAATGCAGAGGCCTTCCATCTGGAAAGGGATCGGTCCCTCCTATGACAGGCTCTAGCTGCTCCCATCAGCTTTCCTAACAAGGAAGGAGGTATGGGAGCCGACACTCAGATACAGGGAAACCAGTGTTAGCGGGCGAGCGATTTTAAAGAATCTTGATTCACCCAGTCGCGCTGTGTTGACTTAAGGTATATGAACGTGTCAAGCCAAAGGATCAGGCAGAACACTGAATGTGGTAAGCAACATGCCAGGGGGTCTATCTTCTCCTTGGCAAGTCTGGGTGAACCTCCAGTTTCAAGTCTGAATAGGAGCACAGAGATGCCAGGAAGACTGACCTTATAGTGGGCATTGACTTGAATGATGCTCCTCAGGGCTGGGTGTGTTTTCCAAAGTCACCGAGGGATGTAAGCCATACAAGCCGAGAATGAGCAAAGCTCACGTGAGCTCAGCAAGGGAACCAGAGGTGCTATGCTGGCTCTTAGCAGGCACATTAGGGTCCCGCTACAGCTGGCTGCAAGCCTCAGGCTGTTTTAAAAAGCGGCCTTAGCTCCAAGTGCACTAGAGATGGTAGCTGATGGCAACAGTTACCTGGCTTAGAAGTTTCTTTCCTGGCCTTTTGCTCCCTAGGGGCAGTAGTCTCCGAGGCAGGGTGGGGGTCCGGCTGGCTGAGTTGCTTACCCTCCGTGGGTGAATTGAATTTGGTCTCGTTCACAAAGGTGGACAGGTCCGAGGGCTGCGGGTAGTCCTGCTTGTCGGCCTCCAAATCCACCGTCATGCACGTCCACTTCTGGCTGGTGACTGCCAGCTTCTCCTCGTCGGTTGCGTGGACCACCGTGGAGATCACAGGTGGCGTTTCTGGTGTGACCGCCGGAGTGGGGTCCTGTGAGCAAAACGTAGTGATGTGCGTCTCCCACCGTCTCGGCCTCACAAACCTCATCCTCCCACGAGTCTGTGCCCACCAGCCAGAATGGGTGCCCATCAAATCCTCTTCATGTCCTCAGACTCTACTCAGAATGGTCTCACAGTAACACATTCTTTCCTCTATGAATTCCCTTTTCTGATAGCTTGTTTCAAAGAGTAAGCATGGGTTTAAAAAAAAATCAAGATTTTGTGTCCTGGTCATTTGTCACATTTCTGCTCATTCACTTTAGAAAAATATGGGCACTTTTATTCCTGTAACTATTGTGCTATGCCCACTGGTGCTCCAGGGCCTGCACATCACCATCAACATAGCCTAACACTCCCCACGTCCGTCACTGGAGGTAGAGAGACGAGGTCTTATCTGCATTACCACACAGAGCGTGCAGTTGGGCAGGGCAGGAGGGGAGCCCAGAAATGTTAGAGCCGAGCTGGGGCCAGGACCCAAGACCCTCTTTTGGGGCTGGACATCCCTCTCCCTGCAGCCCCTGCCCTGGGCAGAGCTGGCTTGCTGAGTGGGGCTCGGCGGGCTCAGTTGGGGTTGTGGGAGGTCTGCTTGTGTTATGACCCTGAGTGGCCTGGCAGACGTGCGTGAGGATAACCTTCCTTGGCGTGCACATACTTGGGAGAGAAACTCGTACAAGAGAGACAGGGACCTGCATGAAAAAAGAGCCAAGCCCCAGCTGTGGGGGATGGATTTCCTCCTCTCCACTGATTTTGGTCACATAAACCAATGCTCTTCACATATATTCAGTTCTCACTGGGTCTTCATCTATCTCAGCAGACTTCCTCAACTTGATATTCACACAAGTTCTCAACGGGCTAACTGGCCAGAATGAACTGGCACAAATGCTACAGAATCCAACTAACATTTTTCCGGAACCTCTTCCTACTCTTGGGACATGCTCTGATCTTCTCCAAAGGGGAGGGACCGAAAGCAATCCTGCCAACACCCAGGGACCCTCCCCGGAGAAGGCAAGCAGAGGGTGCTGGAAACATGCCCAAGAGGAGCAGAAAAGAAAGCTCGGTTGGTTAGTGGGGAACAAAAATACCAGCCTTAGCTTCCTGGGTGAGAGACAAAAGCATAAATATCAAGGGAACATCATACCTGAGAAGGTGGATCAGAGAGAGGAGACCGTTTTGGCGACTTTTTCACCCTAAATGTGTCACTGGAAACAAAACGGAAAATGTAAACACAAAAGACAGCGGTACAGAACATTCCAGAGTAGACTGAAGCCACACCTCTGCTGAGCGTCTGGCCCAGACCACCCCCACCTCCCTGTCTACACAGCTCCAACACCAGCTAAAAGATGCTCACACCAAGAGGCCCTTCTGACTTAACAACTATAACTGTTTCCCCATAGGGAAAGACTCATCAAGCTGGAGATCTTTCAAGAGATGCCATTTTGGAGAGCTGACCTAGAAAATGAAGCTAAATTTAGCCAGGTGTTCTTATTTAAAAAGCAAATTTTGGCAAGTAGATAAATGTATCCAGATTCATCCAGGAATATCTGGACCCACTAAGATGGGGGAGGGGATCTAGGTGCAAGACACTATTAACAGGATCCCATTTGCAGACGGTCAAGCCGACAGCATGTAACAGCTCATGGAGCTGTGAAGAAATGGGAAGGAAAGTTCTGGGTCTTCAGGGAGAACTGACAGAATCCATCCTTGTCCCAGAACTCTGAGTTCAATGGATCCAGCACCTCCAAACAGGTAGGTGGGGTTCTGACTAACGACAGGGCCAGGGGTGAGATGTGGTTCAAATTACAGTGGAATACACAGAACATAAAACATACCGTCTTAACCACTTCTAAGTGTGTGGATCAGCGGTGTAAAATGCACTCACATTGTAGCACAACCCATCTCCAGAACACCTTTCAGGGATGAGATGATTTTTTAAATGTCTTTTCCTAACTATGGTTTTCTCCCTTTCTTTCTCCTTCATATAAGTAATTGGGGGTAGGAGGATAGCACGTGAGGCAAAGAAAACAGCAGGTCAGACTCCCAAACAGGTCAGTTCTGGCCAGTCCACTGGGTGACTAGGGGGTCATTTCCACACTCAGAATGGAGGTTTTTCCATTCTGTTGACGACGAGGCCCTCCTCCCGGCTCCCCCATCTCAGGCCCCTCTGTGGTATGGTCCTGGCCCCAGCAAAGCAAGGGCTCTGGGGGGTTCCCCTCACCTGAGATCCCACTACCCTGCCGTGCTCTAAACAGTAGCCAGATGGACAGAGAATTTGGTACTCAAGTTCCTTCCCTGTGTTCTCTCAACTAAAACACTCCAACAATGGCATCCAGTCATGAAAAAAAATACTGTATGTGTGGTTATTTACAGCATTTATGGCATTTGCCATATGAATACTGAAATCACAGCTTGAAGCATATATTCATTCATGCATATAAATATATAACTGTGCATCTTACAGTTGCTAAATGGCTCTAAAATACTAAACAAATACTTTAGGCAGCAGAGAGCCTGGGAGACTCAACCCTGCCCTGGGGCTGCTGGATGCGTATGACCAGGCTAGCTTCCCGTGTTAAGGATGGGGAGGCAAAGAAGGTTCCTCTCCTTGGGCCCCGGAAGCTGCCCATTAAGATCCCTCCTGGCCAGGAAGGCAAAGTACAGGTAGAGAGATGGTGCTCTGTTCCACTGACGCCCAGCAGGGTGGCCCACAGATGGCATGCTGATGCCCAGCCTGGTCCTGGGTGACAGGATGCAGGCCCAGAGCAGCCTGGCGATGGCTCCCACGTCTGTGTGCTCCACTCTGAGCTGACCCTGCATCTCAGGGGGCTCTGGCAGGTCGCAATTTGAAACAGCCCAAACATGTCTGCCCCCACGTTAGCGAGAACAAGGGACGGCAGTGGCTGCCTGTAGTTAGACTGGATGGTTATTTTAACATGAAGCCACAGTACTTTGAAAGCAATCGCCCACTAGTCCAATTTAAAATGAAAGAATGAAAATGGAAGTTAAAAAAGAAATGTATGAGTTTCAGATGAAGACATCCAATATGCAAGGGGAGAAAAAGTTCCATTCCCGAGAAGCAGGCAGATGTTGGAATAATCACGTTTTCACAGCCAAGCAGTTTCACTTATGCTTATCACTATGAAACAGAGAAATAACCTGACTATTGGGGAGCCCTGTGCCCCCATCATTCCCAGACCCACCACAGAAATACAGAAGCAGCAGCCAAGGAAAGGCAATCAAAAGAGCTTGGGAGCAAAAAACAAAAGGCAGCAAAAAGCACATTGAGAGTTAAGAGGTAAATTGCATTAAATTTACTTACAACAGAGAACAGACAGACATCACATCTTCAACCATCCTAAGACAAGAAGACAGAGAAAAAGAGAGACAGACAGAAGGAACTGACAAAAAGATAAATCTGCAGATAACTGGTTATTCATGGGTTAGGATACAACAGCCAAGCGCTGCAGCTCCTGCTCGGGAGCGTGGGCAATGCCCAGCAATGCCCAGCTTTGCAGACGGGCCAGCAGACATGGGCCTCTTGGTCCCAACGATCCAATACAGCGCTGGTGCCAAAGAGCTTTGCCAGCCCACGTGGGACTCGAAGCCATCTGCACTAGAGGTGAGACTGAGATGCACTGGCTTCCCCAACCCCTGTGGGCCCCAATGACAGGACAGAATAGAGCCAAGCGATCTGTAGGGAAGGGGGTGCGGGGGCAGTGGTGGCTACAAGCTAGTTTTCATTCCAAAAAAAGGAGAGAACATGGCTTCATGGTCTGGGCCTTTCAGACTTTTCCTATCTGAGGCTTAAAATAAAGCTTCTGACACAAGTTTGAAGGAGTCTCTAGAAAGGGCCTGGATGGGTAACTGACCTAAGAGAAGTTAACATTTTGGGCTGGAATTGCCTCCCACCCTCCACCAGACAGTGGCAGGGTGGTCCAAGGCTAAAGCCTGCTTAGAGGACCTCTTCTCAGAAAGCCCTGGGTTCTTCTCCAATGTTCAGTGCTCAGAGGGAGGTAAATGCATGCCAGGCAGACTCATTGGGGCCAGTGGCCATGGTCTGTTCTGAGTTGCCGCCAGGAGACTGGTCTCCGTGGCCTTGTGAAATTACCGACGATACTTCCCGAGAGCAAGGAGAGAGGCCCAAGCTCAAACCATACACTACCTACGCTTGGATGGGAGTGCTGACAGCAGACCTGCAGCCATCCAGGTGACAGCTGGTCTTGCAATAAACTCCAGAAGCATGAATGTGGAGTACTAAGGACAATCCACTTGTCAAGCGTGTGTGGACAGCAGACCTGATTATTAATGACCTTCTGGGGAATTGCGGGGATTGCCTTTCCCTTTCAGGTTCCATTGATCTCTTCTGGACCTATAGGGGCTTTGAACTCTTGTCTGCAAAAGATGACTAGAGAAAGGGATGGAGACAAAGGTCTTTCTTATGGGCTGGTTAGAGTACAAAGAAGGGCCTGGGCCCGGCCCTTCACTCAGGCCTCCTGGAACCACCTGTGTATACCTCCTGAGCTGATGTCTCATGAATAAGCAGAAACAAATACTGCAAACATTTTAACAATAGTTTAAAGGGCAGACCTCCTAGCTTCTAGCCACTCTGAAAAGCAATTCACATGCTATTCAGGGAAAAGGCTAAGTCTCCAAAAGGGAAGTTGGCCATGTCTCTACTGAACTGTTCCCTTTCTGTGGAATGTCCCACACTCCTCTGAAAGTGAATGTCAGGTCTTCAGTTATAAGCGAAGCTTCAGACCACCAACCTATAAAGGCAAAAGGTCAAGGAATCTAGACCCAAAGGGACATGTGGATGGGAAATGCCACTGTTGTGGGCGTGGAGGGGAAGGAGAATGGGTAAGCAGCTGTGAACACGGCCTATGGCCAATGTGCGAGGGGTCAGGGCAGCCCATGTGTATCCAGGCACGTGACTGAGGATCACAGCCACACGCAGCCCGCCTCCGATCTTACCACCTGCACCCCTGAACTTACGTCTTTAGGGGCGTCTTCTTCTTCTTGGCAGGCTTGTTTAGCCCATCCCCGTCTACTCCATTGGCTTCGATGGCACTGGCTGGGATCTCAAAGGAGGCTGGGGATTTAGAAGGTGAGCTGGGGGTCTTAGAGGACGTCTTAAAGGGGTCAATGGACTCATCACAGGTGTCGGGGCCAAAGGTGTATGATTGTTGGGGCAGTTTGGGAGACTCCTGCATTTTTGAGGTGGAAGAAAAAGGGTTAAAATTGGGGTCATCCCACTTGTCTATATCAAAGGTGTAGGTACCTTTTGCAATAGGGATGTCATTGGGTTCAGCAGGGGATCTGGTAGGCGAGGCAGGGCTGTTGTCAAGTTTCTCGGGTGTTTTTTTCATCTTTGGCCTCCTTAGGGGCATTTTGGCAACCGGCTTTTTGCCTATCTTTTTAGTAGGAGGGGGGTTTTCCTGCTGGGTGTCCCAACTCCCCTTGTCCTCGGAGTAGTCAAACTCTAGCCTCACTGAGAGCCCTTTGGCTGGGGAGTCCTCTTGTCCCCCACTTTCCAGTGGGGTCACCTCCACTGCCTCCGGGGCCGTGGCAAGAGGCAATGCTTTCCTGCCACTGGGGGGTGAGTTCTGTACTCTGCCACCTCCAGAAGCTGGGGGAACAGCCGCTTCTGCACTCTCTGAGTCCGGGGCACAGGCAGCCTTGGGCACTGCAGTCGGTTCTAGGGGCGCCTCTTCTGATAAGGCTGGTCCAGAACCTTCCGTCTTGGTGGATTCTGTTTTTGTCTCGGCCACTTGATTCTCCTCGCTGGGCACAGGGCTCTCTCCAGCCGGCTCTGGTTGTGTCTCTTTTACTGGGGGGGTTTCGCTGGGTTTCTTGGTGGTCTGTTTCTTTTTTAAGGAAGGTGGCCTGGGTTTTTTAGTTCGCTTAAGGGTACTGGCAGCGCTGCCTGAGCCCGAGCTGTATGCATCTGGGGCTGGGACCCCGGCCTCAGTGCCACCGGTGCAAGAGGCACCATCAAAGTCACCGGCTTGCAGGCTGAGAGATCGGGATAAAGTGGACTTGGAGGTGGGGACAGAATCCGTGGACTTCCTCCGTGCGTTCACTTTGCAGTCCTGACTCTTAGAGTCTGAGGAGCGAGGCTCTGAGGCCTGAAAATCATCGACCAGCTCGATGTTGTCAAAGTCTAAGTTGTAAGTCCCACTGCTGGCTATAGGCTTGTCTTCATCGAAGACGGCAGAGGAGGAGTGTGGGGGAGGATGGAAAGGACTTCCTTCCACTGAGCTGCTACGCGGGCCATCAGGGACACAGACACTTTCAGAGGCACATCCTGAGGAAATGGAGACAAAGCAGTCACTGAAGGACACAGGACCCTTTGCAGCTTTTCGCATTTCATGCCAGACTATTTCTCTCTAAGCGCAGCGCCCCCAGCCAATCCAGCCCACTTGCTGGGCACACTGCTCAGATCCAAATCCCGCTCTCACCCAGTATTAGCTCCAGACCCTGACAGGCTCACCCCCATGGGAGAGACAAGGAATAGCTCAAATCATTCCGTCATTCAAAAAATGCTTACGAAGAGCCTAATCAGGACCACGTACCACGCTGGGCACTGGGGTTTCAACAATGGACAAAACAGACAAAACCCTCCTGGAAGTTACATCTTCAGGGACAGTCAAGAAACAAAAAAAAAAAAAATGTGCACACTGCCAGATGATTGTAAGTGCTGTGGAGTAAAATAAAGCCAGGGTAGGACAGTGCAATTTTTAAATAAGGTAGTTGGGTAAAGCCCTCCAAGGAAAAAAGACATTTAAGGAAAGATCAGAAACAAAATGAACCAGAAGTGTATCTGGGCAGAAGCATCCTAGCCAAAGGAAATAAGAAGTGCAAAGGCCCTGGGGTAGAGGCATGCCTAGTATGTTACAGAGACATCAGGAACCAGTGTGGCTAAAGCAAGGGAAAGGGGCAGGAAAAAAAGACAGAGCAATAATAACTCACATAGAGCATAGTAAGTCTTCAATATCTATTAGCTGCTCTCATAATCTAGCCTGTTCTTGACTACTCAGGGCTGCTGTGAGGAATAACAGGGAACCTTTATGCACAGCTGGCCCTGTCTGCCACCTGTCACTACTCCAGGCATCCCCTGTCCTGTTTCTGGCCTTCCCTCTCACCTATTCTCTCTCCTCTCTTTGCTGCTTCCTCCCAGTTTCTCCACCCATTCAGCCACTGCTGGCCATCAAGACTGCTCTGTATTTTAAAAATATGCTGTGATGCTCCAAATGTTGACCAAAAGATGCTCCACCACCTTGTGACCCCACTGCTCTGTGGGAACCCAGCCAGCCTGGCCTTGGATGCGCTATGCTGGGCTCCGCCTGCACCACGTGGGGTCTTTCATGCATTTCTGGGTTCATAGCTGTCCTGGGGAGTCAGAATGCCAGAAAATGAAAAACATGTCACTAGACAAAGGAGGGCAAATGTTGCAAAGTGGTCTGCAGACGAAGGCATTAAAGAGTTGGCACATACATGACTTGGGATGGCATTCTCCAGGCATGTCACTGACCGGGGTTATGCCCCCCAGCACCCACCCCACCGCTGGCTGGTATAGCTTTCAGATAAAATACAGGGTGTTCAGTTAAATTTGATTTTCAGATAAACGAGTAAGTTGTTTAGTATAAATATGTCCAATGTCTCAATTATTGTTTATCTGAGATTCACAATTAACTGAGCCCCCAATATTTTTATTTGCTAAACCTAGCAACCCTCTCTCTCATCCCAACAAACAAATGAGGTCTGGGAAATGCTCAGTTAAACCTAAACTGGCTTCTCTGAGCAATTCATGCTCACTACTGCAAACTTCCCAGTGGTAAGTATTTTCACGAAATGCTTACCGAACTTTGCTCACAAGCAAATCTCTCTCTTGCAGCACTTGGCAGAAAACCCCAGGAGATGAAGTGCTGTCCAGCAGATGCCAGCACAAGGGAACAGCAAGCCTCTTGAGTTCAGGGACTGGTCTGATTCATCTTTGCTTTCCCTGAACTAGTCACACTCTCTTGCAGGCTCAATAAACACCTCTGGAATTGAAAGTACCTTCTGGAAGCACATCTAATAGCCAGTCATGGTTTGAAACCTTCCCTTCCCCTCTGCATCCGATGCCACCCCAGGGCCTACTTGGAGCAGATATCCTGTGTTCTGCCTGAAGGTTTCAGCCCCAGGCAAGTTTACTATGAATTCAGTGAGACCAAGAAATGACAACAGAATGTTCTTGGGGTAAAAGGGTGTACACCCGGCTTTATTCTCACAGAGTAGATCCAGCACTAGAATCACATCTGCACCCAGCAGTCTGCAGGCCCATAACCCGCCTCTGTCTCTGTCTCTGCCTCACCCAGAGCACTGGGCAGAGATCTTACAGGTATGGAAGCATTAGCCTAGCAGGAGGCCAATTACATCAACAAGTAGTTTAGGGTCAGGTGAGGATCCTGGCTATAGGAACTTCCATTTTCCCCACATGTGGAAGATGGAGCACATGCTTAAAGCCTCTCAGCTCTTTCTGCCTCAAAACACTTCAGTCCCAAAAACACTTTTGCTTCCTTCCCATCTCAAAAGACGTCCCTCTCCTTCTTTCTAAAATCAACTCCCTCCCTACTTCCTCCAGGGCCTGGCACGTCAAGCGCCCCGTCCTCCAATCAACAGTCACCTCACCTCCTGCCCTGGACACAAGGTACAGAGGACACAGAAGGCCCAGAGGCCCAGGGGCCCAGGTGTTTTCAAGTGGGCCTTGCAGGAAGGAGAAGAGCCTTGGCTCAGCCTTGTTCCCAAAGCAAGGAAGCCTTCCCTCTCCCAGGCCACTACCAAGGAAGGAAGCCCACACAAGGCCCTTCCGATGTCAGTTCCCCCGAATCATGCCACATGCAGCAGATTCTCGGCTTAACCATCTGCTCATTGTTTTCCCCAAAGCTCCCTGCCTACTTAACTTGGCTTTCCTCTTTAGAACTGACATTCCCTAATTAAATCATCATGGACCAGGAAACCTAGTCTTGCTACAGGGTTTCTTAGCTGTGGCACTGTGGCCATTTCAGGATGGTCAGTTGTCATGGGGGGAGAGGGTATCTTGTTCATTGTAAGATGTTTATCAGCATTCTTGGCCTCTACCCACTACATGAGACTAGCATCCCCTATCCCAGTGGTGACAACCAAAAGTGTTTCTAGAAATTGCCAACTGTCCCCCTGGGGGGCACAACAGTCCCTGGTTGAGAACTGACTCCTGTCTTACCATGTGGTGACCAGAGCAGACTGTTCCACAGGGCCCATTATGGGGCTGGGAGGGCCCTTCCATGCACTTTTCTGAGGAGGCCTGAGTAAGGTAGCTTTCTTAGACTAGAGAAAAAGGTCACTGCCACATGCAGGCCCTGATTTTCCAAAGCAAGTGTGGTCCAACTGGGTTATCAGTCCCTCCCTCTGGATTAAATGTCTACACACCACACCTGCATGAAGACCATTCATTCATTCATTCCACAAATTCTCTGGGCACCTCATCTCTGTCAGCTACTGTAGGGTATGCTATGGACACAAAGATAAGGAAGGACAAGACCCCAGATGGATCCACCCAGGCGAGCTTGTCCTCGCCTCGTGCTCCGCAGCAGTGGAGACGAGAGGAAGGGTGGCCCTGGCTCCAGGCTTCGCGGTCAATTTGACAACAGAATCAGCTTGCGTGGTTCACCACAAGCAAAGGCTCACTAGCGCCCCCCAAGCTGTACCAGTCAGCTCAGACCCCCTAACAGAGTACCGTGGATAGGGGGGAGAGGGGGGATTAACCACCACACACGCATCCTCTCGCAGGTGGGCAGGTGTGGCTTCTCCTGAGCCCTTTCTCTTGACGGTCTTCTGTCCGTCCACGCAGGGCCTTTTCTCTGTGTGAGCGCATCCCTGGTGGCTCCTTCTTTTCTTAGAGGGACACTGGTCCGACTGGATCAGGGCTCCACCTTGTGACCCCATAAGCCTTCATCACCTCCTTAAAGGTCCGAACTCTAAATACAGTCACACTGGAGTCAGGGCTTCAACATATGAATTTGAAAGAGCAACCAGTGCTAGGCAATCAAATCCCCAAGCTAAGGTTAAAAACAAATGAGGTTGGAAACATCTCTTGGCCTTGCTGGACCATTTCTAACCAGAGTCCTTACCGCCAGCTGTGCTGGTGCCCCTCCCCTCCTCTGCCCTCCCCACCCTGGGCAGGGATCCAGGGGCCCAGGGGCCCAAAGGGGTCAACACATGGCACCCAGCACTCCCAGACTCACCTTAAACCAGTGTATCAGGGTAAATGGACTTACACTCAGGGAGCCCAGCTTTTACATCTAAGTACATAAATAATGATCTACTGCAATTAATAATGTTTATTCTGGGTCTCCATTTAAAGTAGGCTAACTAGATACAAATGGAGCATTACTTGGTCTTTACGTGGCATTTTGCTGGCAGCTGTAGACAACTCAGAGCAAGTCCATGATGAATTCAACATTTCCCAAACCTGTCTATCATAAACCACACCTGAGATGCCCGTTAAAACCCCCCAAATCCCACTCCTCCCTAGAGAAGCCATCTGGCACAGCTGGGGTAGCGGTTTGGAGCCCATTTTCACAGGAAGCCCATGCCCAGGAAAGTCTGGGGGCTGGGCTGGTTCACCTCACCTGCTTCCTATCAGGACCTATCCTAATTCTAAAAACCTCCAGGGACAACAGTTGTATTTGGCCACAGAAATGGTCTGAGGAGAGCTTGGATTGGTCTGGACTGGTCTTTGCAGTTCCCTCTGCCTATGAGTGCAGCAGCTCAGAGGTGTGAGGCGTCAGGGCAGGTGAAACAACAGGCGGAGGCAGTGCTGCCCACCCTCTGATGTGGTCGCTAAACCCCAAATGGACCAGCAAGAGAGGCAGGAGGCCCATGCGAAGCCGACTTCTTTCTGAGACCCCTTCAGATCTCAGGGGTCCCGAGGACCCCTTCCTATGGGTCTGTGTCCACTGCTTCCCAATGTCTCAGATCTCACACATCTGCGCTCTCAAACCTCCATCCAATTCCCAAAGTCTAAAGAAGAAATAGAGCTGCTCAAGGCATTATGGGTAATGACAATTACTGACCAGACAGAGATGGAGAAATTCTCCATGCCAGGTTGTTTCTACCAGCCTACCTTGTGAGCAAAGTGGGCCTATTAAGGATGTGGAGAGCCTAAGAGGGACTTAGTGGGTGGGGGCAAGAAGTGACATCGCCCCATGGGCACCCAGCAGCACAGCTGGGTGATAGCCCCACTGTGGGCTGGCGTGCAGAGCTGTGTCTTGTGCATCCCTGGGCTGGGTCCTGGCTCTGCCTTGAGCTACCAAATGTCACTTCTTTCTTCCTTTGCTGACTTCTGCTCCCCCACCCCCCAGGCCCCTTGCCAGTGGCAGCCTTCCCTGTGGAGACCCCACCTGCTGTCCTGCCCAGTTCTCCCCCAGCAGGGCTGCCTACCAATGGCCATGCCACCCCTGCCAGGCCCCAGCATAAGCATCAGACTGAGCTGCTTCTCACTCGGAGGTGGCAGGGAAAGGGACCACAGGGGTAACCACTAAACATGCTGTGACCAGGGCCACTCGCCATCCTTTCCGCCTCTGCGCTCCTGTACTTCCCTTCTACCCTTCCTCAAGTGTGACAGTGAGCATGAAGCTGGCAGTTTTGGAAAAGAGCTTTCTCTGTAAGCTAAAGCAGGCGGCACAAAGACAGATTACAAGGGTAACATCACATGCCCGGTTCTGATTCAAGAGAAGCCAGTGCCAAGGAGCCCAAGAGCCACATAGAAGTGGCTGAAACCTTGGCTGTGCCCCCTGACCATCTTGGTGACCATGGCTAAAGTTCCTTCGCCTTGCTGTGCCTCCCCATCTCTAGCAACACCTCCTGGGTTGCTGCAGAAATTAGAGGCCAGGCCTCTAATAGTGCCCATTGCAAAGAAAACACTCCTGAGTGTTATCTATCGTTCCATCTTATTACCAGAAGGGGCTTCCAGTACACATGCATCCAGAGACCCAGGGCCCTGCTGGGGTCTCGGTGTGCCCACCAAGGTGCCTGGGGCAACTCCAGGCACGTTATTCAACTCCTCTGATCCTTGCTGTAAATTGGGTATTCTTATGAAAACCTGTAAGCACCTAGCCCAGGGCACAGCAGTAACAGAAAATGATAGCTGTGGGTCCCCAACTCCTGCACATGTCACAGTGACACCGCTTCCCATACCCTCCCCTAGACTGGGAAGGGCCCTAACCTGGCTGAGCTCCTGGACACCCTGCTCAAGACCAGGAGGCTCCCTGTCTCTCTGTGGGGGGCCCCCTGCACAGCAACCTCAGAGGGGAGTAAGGCAAGTGACTGTATGCAGGCAGGGTCCCCTGTGGGGGCTGGTCAAGACGGAAGCCCCGGGTGCCCTTTGCTCCCTTCTGAGTCAATCCAAAGGCAGTGACCCACAAGCTGCCATTTGACACACAACCGGTGCCTCGGCAGAGGCCACCCTTCCCACAGGGCAGAGAGGAAAGGTCTAGGGCACAAAGGCTACCTCCAAGGCCCCAACACGGGCCTTCCTGGGAACGGACAGTCTCCTGGCAGGATGAGTGAAGAGGCTCTGCTCCGGGGGGGGACAATGTCCCCACAGGGAAGGCAGCGGTCAGCCGAACCCACCTCCAGTCTCACAGGCAGGCTTCCCTTGTTGGCTGACTGCCTGCCGCCTGGCAACTGCTTTGCCTGTCCTCCGCCTTGGGGTGCTTAAACACACCCCAAGCTCATGTGCCCTGCACAGACAGCAGTCTGCTTTCCAGACGGAAGAGTCAGGAGGCCCAGGTTCTGATCCCAGAGCACCTCACTTGCTAGGACCCTAGCCTGAGGCCTTGCATTTCCCTGGGGAAGCAGGTGATGCCCTCCAGCACGCAGGGATGCTGTGACCAGGGGGGTAGTTCCCGCACCTGAGCTGGAGATGAAACACATGAGGAACCTAGCATGGGCCCGGCACACTTAAAAGGCAGCTATTATTTAGTTATATGACATTTAATCATGCCCTTGGTGGCTGGTTTTGAGTTCTAATAAGACAGACAATGTACAGCAGCCAAGTATTCTGATCACAAGACCATGGAAGGTCAGAGCAAGGACCTCAGAGGACTCACAGGTTACCCTCTTCATTTTGCAAGAGAATTGGGCTCAGATAAGCTACATCCTGGCCTGGCCCAGATGAAGGGCAGAGACAAGGTGCACACCCAGTGCCTCCCACCCTCCTGTCCAAGCGAGTGCGGACATGCTGGTGGAGCCCCAGATGATTGGCTGTTTTGTAAAATGTAGGTTTCCAGGAGGAAAAGTCGTGTCTTAATGCACAGCAAAAATCTCATCTACTATTTTATGTGATTCTTGTGGCACCTTTAGCAACATGCTGGGCACTCTGCAAAGGAAAACCAGGCCACAGGTGTTCCCCTTTGGCCTTCTCTTTCCTGTGGTTCCCAGAAGGACACTGAGTTCTCCAGCCACTCCGAAAGCAAGCATAGCCACCTTCACACCCCTTTGTACTGCCCCACGCTGCATGCAGGATGGACAGCAGACGTTTCTAACAAGTGAGCAAATCAAATGGATCTTTGTACACCCCAAGCCAGGGGGCTTTAGGCCGACACAGCCCCAACCACAAGTGTCCTTATTTCCAATCCATATTCATTCCACATTCATTTAGCCTCACTGTAGTTTTCCAAGGAGGAGAAGCATAAAGTCCGAGGTCAGTGACTACAACCAGTGTGATCAGAAGTTCCATGGGGCTGGGCCTCATGACCATGAACAGCTCTAGCCCCTCCTGAGCCCCTTCTTCATCCTCCATATGCTCATTCTTTCAGAAACTGCCGTCTAAGAAAGAGGTAGGTGTTGTTCATGTGTTTGATTTTAAGAAGGGAAATTGTTCTTTGCTCTGAAAAGGAAGTCAGGCAGAAGGAACAAGGACAGACCAAAGAAATGAACCAAAGTGGCAAACCATCCCCAGAACTGGTCAGGATACGTGACTGGGAAGCCCGGAGGACGCACAGATGCTCCCAGCAACGGCCTTCCCTCGCTCACTCCTGGGTGCCTGGGGATGGCGTGTACACTGGATTATGCTCTCACTTTTCTTCTAAATTCTTTTCTGAAGTATCCCACACATTTACAGTCATGAACTCATTATACCCACAAAAAAAGACAGCTCTTGATCACTTCTGACCTAGGGATCACAATCTGTTTGTCATTCACTTCCCATTAAACCTAAGGATGATTTTCCTGCAGTATTATAGGAAATTCATTTTATTATATGAAAGAAAAACTGGTTTGCAAAAGACTTTCTAAGAAATGTAAGTAGTCCTCTGACTTCTTCTCCACATTCAGTTTCAACAATTAACTGCTCAGAGCCCAGCACCTAGACTGGCTGTGCAGAATCCGATACTGCTAGTGGGTAAGACACAGAGGAATCTGGAAACTGCACTTGGCAGGCAACAGCAAAGACCTCTGCTCTCCCTAAACAGGGTCCTACCCCTCTTCCTCCACCATCAGGGAGTGTATTTGCTTAGGGAAATAGCACCAGGAATGTCTACCCTTTCTAAAACAATGGTCTGCTTAAACCCAGGGCAGGTAGAAAGAATTCCATGCATTCCTGTGTAAATCGAACAGCAAGGTTAAAATGCTATTTTAGTTTACAGGTCACCTGACTTCTGGCCAGGGCGAGCATGAGTGGAGGTCTGGCTCTCGGCCTGCTCCTCTCCTCCCATCCAGGCTCCATCCCTCAGCTGGGGTGGCCGTGAGCACAGGTGTATGGACACCTCAAATGTAGGTCCCAGCCCGATCCTTGATTCCTCCTCAGCAGAGGGGTACAAACATGGGCAGTCAGCCCCGGGAAGATGGGCTGGAAAAAGGGGACCACATGGGCCCAGGAAGTGGCCTGGAGGGTGTCTAGAAGGCATGTGGCCCTGCAGACTCTTCACCTAGCAAGGATTGTGGCCTGAGGAAGGCTGGAATGGAGCCTCTGAAGTGCAGGGCCCAGAGCAGGCTGTCCAGGTCTAAGGACAGTCCCACCTGGCCCCGAGTGGCCTATTGGGCCATTTCTGGGACTACCTGGCCTCCCGAGCAGCCCAAGGGCCATTCCTGGCGGTTCCTGTCTCCCTCTAGGTCTCATGTTAAACTCTGATGCTAGAGGTGTGGTCCCATCCCTGCTGGTGTTAACTGGAGGATGCAGAGAACACCAGCCAGGTGGGCAGCCGGGGTGGGAAAGAAATCTGTCCCATTTCCTCCTACTGTCAGTCATCACGTCTGAAAGGTACAGACAGATCTGGGTTTGAAGTCACACTAAGGGAAAAAGGATGTGCGAAAATGATCAGAAATCAGGTTACTGTGGTTAATGAGGAACAATCAACCATCCACGCATGGATTCGGCTATTACTCACTCTTGCTCATTTCCTGTATCTTCATTCCCAAGCCCATGGGGCTATGTCCTTAATAAAGACACAGGTTCATGTGTGCCTTCCAGAACCAGTGTTCTTAAGGGAACAAGGGGACAAATATTACAATCCAAGAGAAACTTCCAAGACACATTTGCGCCACTCAAACTCAATTCCGGAAGCCAAGTGCTGAGCGGGTTCCCCCCAGGCCTCCTCTGCACTTTGCAAAGCCGACCGAAGAAACTGCTGTCATGTGCTCACCCTGAGTTTTCACTCATGAAATGCAGCCCAGCACAGAGAAGCCTGAGCAGCTGGGGACCCAGCTCCAGGGTCAGCCCCTGGGACACCCTCCTCCAGCTGTGAGTCCCCTAGGGGCCCAGCCCAGGGCTGCTCCCGGGGAGTACCTGACCCTTGGTTACCTGGTTCTTCCAGGGGAGGCTGTGTGCTGATCTCAGGCTCTGGAATGACTTCGGGGGGTGGTGGTGGGGGAGCCGGTGGAGCTTTGACAGGGGTCGTTGACTCCGGGGTCTCAAATGCTTCTTCAGAATCAGAACTCCTGATGGAGAGAGAGGTGGAGGAATACAAGGTCAGGCAGGGGCCAGGGCCGCTGAGGAGTGCGAGCCCTTCCGACCACTTCCCCACCCCCAAAACCCAAGGGACCCACGGAGTCAGGCTCGCTGCCCAGTTAAACTGTCGGAGGACAGACGCAATGAAAGTCATTTCCCAGCATGCTTCCCAAAGTGAATCTCATTATCACCAGCTTTTTGCTCAAATGACATAGTCTTTGAACTCAGCTCTACTCGAAATACATATTTCTGGCCTTAGAGGTAAATACAAACACGGTGGAATCTTTTGATCGATTTAGGCATGTGTTGTTTGGCATCAATTCCGTCAAACTGACACGGAGGCATTCCCGGGAACACTTCTTGTTGCCACGGTTCTAACACACCCACAAGATCCGTACTCTGTGCAACTAAATTTCACTTGGTCTCTCCCCATCCCACCCAATCGTTCTCTCCCATTGCTCTTCCCTCCCTACCCTCTCAGCCCTTCTCATAACTAACTTGCTATTACAGATTTATTTGCTTTCTAATTGTGTTAATACCTTTCTCTCCTACTGAGCTGAAAAAACCGTAGGGCAGCGGGCTTTACATCACAGCCTCCCCGAGCCTAAGCTAGGAGGTACTGAATAAACATCTGTTGAATGAATGAATGAATGAATGAAGGCCAGCAAGCCAGCCAGCTGGAGGATGTGCCAGACCAAGACATAAAACACAGCCTGCTGACCCAAACCTGTGACAATGGCCCTGGCTGGTCTGCTCTCAACGAAGATTCTTCATCCAGGTTTGGACCAAAATTCCACCCACAGGATGCCCACCAGTAACAGGTAAGGCCACTCACCAAACTAAAGCAGACAGCCCCTCTCCATTACCCTTTCACTGGGAATTCGGTTTGAAGCCGGGAAGAATGCGGCCTCCCCAAACCACCGAGCAAGGCACGGATCCTCAGGTGGGACGGCAGCTTTCCACCTGCTCAAGATGCCCAGCGGCCCACATTCCAGGCACAGCCTCATTCTGAGGATGCCAGAGGATGCCACAAGCCACAGCAGCAGCATCAGGGCTGATTCCCACCTCAGGGTATTGTAAACAGACCAAAATGCCATCCACTCACTGCAACAAGGAAGGTTGCCACCAAAGGGAAGGAAGATACTGTAGCTCGCACAAGCTGCCCAGCTGGCACATCTGGGTAAAGATGTGTAATCAGAGGGTGACGTGTCAGGTGAGTGTGGAGCGTGAAACGCTCATGCTGCTGAGCTCCACAAGGGTCAAAGGACCAGTGACCTCAGTAGAGGTCAAATCTTCTAAAAACCATCTGCCAACCAACAGAGAGAACCAGGGACCAAAGCAATCCCTCTACAGGGATCTAGAACAGGAAAAACGAGCCATCTGGTGAGTTCTCCTTCAGAAAAATCTGCACTGATATTTTTACAATTTGGAGTGACTCACATAATCAGAGCCACAGACCCTCTCCATCCTCACCCCTCCAACAACCCTGGCTCCCCACCTGGCCCCAAGGCCCTCCAGGGACTCAAAGAGATGAACAGAAATATCTGCACTGTTTTTGATGGCATCCAACGAGCTGAAGCCTGCACGCTATCAAATTCCGGGAGGAAAGACCTAATTCATGCAGACATGACAAAGGCCATACTAACTTTTTATAAACACATATTAATACTAAAGAGCTTAGTTTCGGTTGAGGGGAAGAACGAAACATCTAACTTCGAAAACAACAGATCTAGGTCCCTGAATATTGCAGAATTTGTTTACCAGTATGAAAAACACAGCCAGGTTACACAACTGAGCATCGAAAGAGGAACAAGAGTTTGGATCAGCCTGGTGGGATGCGTGGAGCCAACTTGCCTCTTTCCAGAGCTTTCTTGAAGGACCAGCACACTGGAGTCCCCGCTGCTGGTCACCGCTGTCCACATCCACTGGGCCCATTCCACCACGGGCCACATCCGCCAGGAGGCAAAAGCCATCCCTGCTGAAGAACAGCCGCTGTGCCCCAATTTCCACCCGCAACCCCCTTGCTGGTATCTCTGTGATCGAAATCTCTTCAAGATGTCATGAAAAAGTGAGCTGCACTCCCAGCCACGAAGGCTGCTGGCTTTACCAGTGTCTAGAGGGAGAGACTGTCAATTCCTCTCATGGCGTCTGCATCCTGGGCCCTGGAGATATGTGGCTTTGGAGCACAAAGGGCCCCTCTCTTTCCCAACAGCACAAGCAAGCAACAGGGAGGGCCGTCTGCTCTTGGACTGGAGCTGCTGAATTTCAATGAGGTGCCCCTCCTGCAGCTGCAGGGCCTGCACACCTGCTCAGAAGGGACACCATTCACCACCGCCCTGTGTAGGAGGCACGCCAAGCCCCTTTGTGACTCCCAGCCTGTTTACTATGAACTCTTTCTGCATCAAAGCACCAGGGGCTACCCTGGACCACTAGAAGGCATCCACTTCCGGTGCTGCCTGCACTGTTTTCTTATTTCTGCTGCCTCTCCCAGGAGCGGGGAGCAAGTTAATTAGAGGAGGCGGGCGGCAGCTTTTTAAAATAGCTCTTTTCTCCCCATTCAGTTTCCCAGGGGGCTCAAAAACATTTCCAAGAGCAGGGATTTCTGCAGTTCACCCACAAAGAGCCTGTATATAAAAATACAGCAGCACTTCAGAGTCCCAAGGCATAAAAGCCGTTCCCACAGGTCGTTTGAGTTCTTTTTCTACTACAAAAAAATTAGGTACAAGAAATTATTCTGTGAAGGGTCCACACACTTTTAAAAATGAAAGAATTAGTTTAATTTGCCACAAAGATGTATCAGAAAGAAAAATATACCATTACATTACAGCCTGTAAAAGTCTCTAAATTACAGTTAAGTACATTTGCCACAATATGCATTATGTAATGTTGGTCATATAAGTAACTATGCAAATACAATAAGATATCTTTCCATAGTATAAAGAGATAGCTCTTAATGGCCAGGCAGGAAACAGTGAATTCAGTTCCCAGCATTAAAATAGCTATCACAGATTGAACTTGCTATGGGTCAGGCACTGGGGCTAAGCCCTTTCGCACACTTCTCTTTACCTTCAAAACTATCTGCCTACTGGAGAGCAGGCTCATCTTACAGATAACACAACTGTGGCTTAGAGAAGAAAATTACGTTGCCCAAGACCATCTAGTTAGTAAGCAATGGAAGCTGGGACTCAGATCTAGAACAGTCTCCCTCTAAAATTTGTGTCCTTTGCACTACATCAGTGGCTTCCAAACATTTTTAACATCAGAACTATTTTTTTTTCCAAATGAATCTTACATGAAATTCCTGTGCAGAGAGAAAAGTAGTATATCACTTATTTGATAAGCTCAATTTATAACTTACTCTTATTATCAAGTTAATCACTGAGAACAAGTAAGCTATTTTGATGAACTTAAAGATCTGACACTAGGAGTCAGGGATCCAACTGCAGCCTTATACCTACTGACTTCTTTCCTGGCTGCACACCACCAGGAAAAAGCCTGATACATACCAATGAGTAACTGCAAATAGCACCTGTTTTCCAAGAGCTGTCCTGTGACCACGGGACATCCTCTAATAAGTCAGACAGGGCGAGAGAGTTATCTGACCACACGACACCAAGTTCACCTATCAGCACAAGACAGCGCTGGCAGTATTCATGATCAACAGCGTGCTCTAGCGAACAGAAGGAAAGATGGAAACATGTAACCCCAAGTGCAGGAAGACTGCTCACCCCCATAACCCAAACCTCCTGAGCTCTCTGGCGGGGTGTCAGTAAAGTTTCAAACTTTTTTTCAAATATGTCCTCAGAATCTGGAGAACCTCTATAGAGCGCTGCTGTCTCATCAAGATAGTCTGAAAACCTCTGCTCCACCCAGTGAAGAATTTAGTCCCTCTGTAGACGATACACTGTGTTGGAACAGAGCACTTTATGCAAACCGTCCCCAAAGCAACACAGCTGGTGAAATGTAGAACCCGAGGCCTGTCAACCTATGTTTCCGCTTTACTTTAAATATTTTCATGTTTTACTTCTATCAACTAAGAAGAAAATAGTGTAAGATCAGCTCCCATACACAAATACATTAATATTACAATTGGTATAGTATAGTTTTATATAATAAAGTGAGTGAATACACACACACATACATACATATATACACAAATGTGTGTGAATGTGTGCATATGTATAAATAAAACATGTATATCTTTTAATAAAGAGTTACTATAAATGTAGTTTTCCAGCTTATTGTGAAATGGTTACATTTTGCTCAAGTTTTCCTGGAGATAATTCAAGGACTTGGGAGAATAAACACCAGAGACCACAGAACCTTCCACGTTTGAAGCTGGAAGAAAACTTGGGGATCATTTCCTATTCCAACATTCACATCACATCTTTTCGACAGCCAGGGAATGAGGCTAGGATTGCAAAAATGACTTCCTGAGACCACTGGCCCATTCTGGTCCAGCCACAACTGGACCTTCCGCAGAACCAGGTCTGCTGTCCTTAAACTAAACACTGCCTCCAAATAAGGGCCTTCATTCTAAATACAACCCCCTCCCACCCTGGAAATCTAAAGTTACCTCTACTTAAATATTACCTCATTATCAAGAAACAGCTCCTTCTTAAGCAGTGCTAAAGGGGACATGATATTTCATGTGCCCATCTACTGCGAGAGCAACTGCTCAGAATTGCAGTTAAAGGGACAGAGGGATGGAGGTTTCTGGACACACCCACCATGAGTGAGGACGAGGACAGAGGACACAGCGCAGGCCCTCCAGAGGTGGGGGCTGCCCAGGTCATTAGCCCGCCCTCTGAGCTGTTCTGGAGGGCCCACCTGAGCAAGAAGTGCGGGGGCTCCCGCTGTGAGGGAGGCTGGGGAAGTGGAGGTCCCAGGCCCACTTCAGGGAGGTCTGCTCGCATCCTCCCTCCAGCCAACAGATCGTCTGTCCTCCCTGAAGAGAGAGGGAGGCCTTCCTCTCTGAGGAAACACAGCT